CCGGGGTCCTGCGTCCCTCCCACGCCTCTCATTGCCCTCCAACCCCCCACGCCTGCCGCCCACCTCCCAGGTTGCTCGGGGCAGAGGGACCCAGGGACTCTGGAGCAGAAGGAAGCCAGAGGCCTAGTGGCCGCACTGGGTGGCGATGGGACCCCGGCGGAGCTGGGGCTCCCGAGAGGGAAGTCCTTCTCCGCCGATGAAACTCCCCCCTCGGAGCCGCTGTGGTGTTTTCTCTAGGCCCTAAGTCCGCCTGCCCGGACCTCCCTGGGGCCTCGGGGCCTTTATCTGTAACCGGTCCTCTCCCCTGACTGAGAGCCAGATGCCGTGTGTTCCAGACGCTGGCAGGAGCGCACTGCCATCTTCCCAGGCCAGGCTAGACAGCAGGTCCCGAGGCTCTGGGTTTGGGGGGAACAAACAAGTCAGGGGGCTTCTTCCCCAGTGGGCCTCATTGGGCCCTGAAGGGGTGTGCCAGCAGGTCACCCACAGCACAGGCTTTGGTTAGTTTTCCTCCTGGGGATGAGGAATGGCAGCTGCAGGTGCCCCCTGGGACGCTGGCCGGCTCCAGTCTTATTCTCATTTCTCCACCAGTTCTGTCTCCGAAGGACTTTGCAGGACATCCAGGGTCTGGGCTCTTGTCAAAAGGACAATTGAGCCTGGATCCAGTGCTGTGGGTTTGCATAACTCAGAAGTGGCTTGGGCTGCAGGAGGGTGATGCAGCCTCCCGTCTCCTCAGCTGTGTTGGGGTGGGCTCAGTGCTCTCCTTGGCTCTGGAAGCTCCCCGCCTTAAAACCTCACCGCAGCACAGAGCTCCTGCCTGGCCAGGGAGGTGTAAGAGAAGTCCTTCAGGCTTCCTCACCTGCAGACAGGAACCTCTCTGCCTTCCTCCTCAATCCCCCGGGTCCCTTTGTCCTGGTGTCTGTGGCCTACCCGGTGGGGAGAACACACTGCGTTTCTCCCTGGCTCTCTGCTATTCTTTCACCTGAGACCCAGAAGATGGGCTCTGGGTCCTTGGTGATGTGGCAGTGTCTGTGCTATCACCCCCAAGGACAGGAGTCAAAAGTGAGGCCAGGAGTCATACTTTCTTTCCAGTGAGTCATCCCTGGGTCTCCTGGCTCTCAGGGGACACCAGCTCCATCATGAGCAGCTTCTGCTACTGCCTGGGAGGGAGCTATGGCCCCTCCAACAGGTTGGAAGCCCCCAGGAATCCAGTGCCCTGATTATCCCTGACAGGCAGCCCCATGCTGGGCGATTCCTGGCTGCGGGCACCACACTTATCCCCCTCCAGAGCTGCTCTGGCCGAGGCAGACACTGTAGCCCAGAGGACATCTGGGTCCCGGCAGGGGTACACGGGTCAGGAGACATGAAAAGGTGAGGCAGCATCCCTGAACCCTCCTCTTCTAAAGGAGGGCCCTCCTGGACCCTGGAGCGGACCCTGGTGGCCGTGAAGCCAGATGGGGTGCAGCGGCGGCTTGTTGGGGATGTGATCCGGCGTTTTGAGAGGAGGGGCTTCAAGCTGGTGGGGATGAAGATGATTCAGGTACCAGGGCTCTTGGCCTGTGGGTGTCCCTCAGTGCACTAGGGGGAGGGCTTCTTACGGACCTCAGAACCTCAGCCCTTCATGTCAGTCCTGCTCCAGGAGGAGTGTCCTGTTGGAAGGAGAAGGGGAGGGATGGAGAGGTGGAGTTGGTATCTCCTGCACTGCTGTGCTTGACACGCCGGCTCCTGTAGGTGTTTTCTGCAAAGTCATTGCCCTCGTGCCCATGGGGCGCCCTCTCCAGGGACTCCTCTCACTCCTTCTCCCAATGCCACACAGGCGCCAGAGAGCATCCTTGCTGAGCACTACCATGACCTTCAGAGGAAGCCCTTCTACCCAGCCCTCATCAGCTACATGAGCTCTGGCCCCGTGGTGGCCATGGTATGACCTGGTGGAAGGAGTGGAGGGCCCTGGATTGAGCCTAGAGCTGCTGAGCCCTTGGTCATCCCCCTTCTCCTGACCTTTATCTCTGTGCTGCAGGTCTGGGAAGGCCCCAATGTGGTCTGTACCTCAAGGGCGATGATAGGGCACACGGACTCAGCTGAGGCTGCCCCCGGCACCATTCGAGGCGACTTCAGCTTCCACATCAGCAGGTACGGGGGCCCTGGCACACTCAGCCACAAGCGCATTGTTTTGCTAGGTAAAAGTTAAGCCAGAAGAGACTTTTAATGTGGGATATCACACCTCTTACTTGCTAGTTTCGGGGAGATAAAGTATTCCCTGAACGTTGTGTATGTCCTCCGTCATCACGGTCTGTTGTCTGACTCTATCTTGCCAGGTACTCTGAGGGAGGACTGGTGGGAAAATGAGGCTCCCAGTAACAGTCTGGGCTGGTCCATGAGGTTGTAAGAGGCCGAGGCCAGGCTGGAACCCAGTTTTTTAGCTCCCCTCTTCTTCCTTTCCCCTCCCCCTAACACAAGAACTTGAGCCCACACTGTGCTCTGCCCATCTGTCCCAGACCACTTCCCTGTTCGCCTTCGGCTTCAGCCCAGAGCAGTTGAGCCAACTTTATGTGCCTTTTTGGTATCTTAAACCAGCAGGTGATTGGACCAAATCCTTTCCATACCAAAATGCCAGACCACCTTTGGGGAGGGGGGTCTCCAAAAGTGGTTTAACCTCCCCTCCCCCACAAGGGACACATTAAAATTCCTTGTGCTGTGCTTGGGGGTGGAGCGCTCATTATGTCGGTGGCTAGGTACTAATGAGGCCTTTACACAAGGTGGTATAAACCAGTAGGAGGTCAATAGAACCTATGACTCAGGCAGAGATCCAGAGACCTCCAACCTGAAATGTGGGAGAATCCACGCTGGGCCCTGAAGCTGGTGCTGTCCCAACACCAAATCATTCTGATTCTGCTGAAGAAGGAGCTTCCTGCCTTGGACAGGACTGGAGGGTGGCAGGAACGGGTGGCTGGGGAGGTGGTGGCTAAGACCACCCTCAGGGCAGAAAGCTTGGTGACCATAACCTCCTCCCCTCTTCATGGCTTCATGTGGCCGAGGCTGCCTGGTGTTTACTTGTCTTCATGTTGACACTACATCTCACGCCTAGTGCCCAGGTGTCCCTACTCACTCTTGACAGGTACTGGACACTGCACATCATTACATCTGCTAAGGCTGGCATGGTCCTTTTTCTTTCTTTTTTAAAAAAAATATATATTTTATTGACTTCAGAGAGGAAGGAAGAGGGAGAGAGAGATAGAAACACCAATGATGAGAGAGAATCATTGATTTGCTGCCTCCTGTACACTCCCTTCTGGGGATCGAGCCCGCAACCCAGACATGTGCCCTTGACTGGAATCGAACCCAGGACCCTTCAGTTCGCAAGCCGACTCTCTATCCGATGAGCCAAACCAGCTAGGGCTGGCCTGGTCCTCATTTGATATTTTTTCCTTCTTAAAGTTCTTTTTTAGGTTTGTTTTTTTTTTTTTTTTTTTTTTTTAAGAGATGGGAACATCAATGAGCTAGAAACATCAATGAGAGAAACATCAACATTGATGGGCTATCTCCTCTGCATGCCCCCTATTGGGGATCAAACCCTGACCTGGAATCAAACCAGTGACCTGGAATCAAATCAATGCTTAACCACTGAACCACCCGGCCGGGCTTTTTTTCCTTCTTAATGAAGGATGGCCTGGTCCTTGCCCTGACATTTATTGCTCTTGAAACGGGTCATTTTAGGAACTGGCACTGGGCCTGGACAAGTGAAGCAGAGGTCTTCCTGGGGCTTTCCTTGGCCAAAGTCTCCTTCCCTCCTCTTTGATATTTATGCAGCGGGGTAGGCAGGTGTCTGGGAGGCAAGGGCATTTAAACGCTGGGCCAGCCTGACCTTAACCCGGGAAGGCGTGTCCGCTGTATCCAGCTGGCTCCGACCACGGTACTAACACCCAGTCTTGTGGAGAGGACGTAGTCTTGTGGACAGTTTGGAAGCCCACTCACCTGGCCTCGGCCACAGAAGAGCCACAGAAATCCGCCTGCAGCACTGCGCTGGCGCCTGCCAGCGGTCCTGGGACAGACCAGCCACCCCCATTCTCGGCAGGCGGTGTGGCCACAGCGCTGCAAGATGTCCTGGGGAAAGCTGGGAGGCAGCCTTGGGTAGGGCCAACGGGGGAGGGGGGCGGTGGTCCGGGGCGGAGCGAGGGGCCAATGTGCAGGGCGGGCGCCCTGAGAAGGGCGAGGAGGCATCTACGGGCCGGGCGTCCTGGGAGGAGCGAGGGCGCCTGCGGGAGGGGTGGCGGCGATGGGGCGGGACCTCCGTTTCCCCGGACTCTACGGGTGCTCAGAAGTGACGCGGCGAGAGCGCCGCTGGTCCTGGTGGTGGCAGCTGGTGCTCTGATCCGAAGCAGTCCCTGCTGTCCTCGCTGCCGCGGGTCCGTACCGAGCGCCATGGCCCAGCCGCCGCCCGATGTCAGCGAGGACGACTGCCTCCCGGAGTACCGCCACCTCTTTTGCCCCGATCTGCTCCGGTGAGGGCCTCGTCCTGGTCTGCCTTTGAGAGCGGGGTCAGGAACTGGGGAGTGGGACCCGGGGTTCGGGGCGTCCGAGTGCTCCGGTACTTTGATCCTTGCACTGTGGAGAGTACGTTCTGTTTGGCTTGGCCAGCGCCGGGGGATGTTGCGAATGGCAGTTCTGGGAAGGAGGGAGGGAGGGAGGGGCAGGTGGAGGACGGCTTGTATGTTTTGAAGACATTACTCACTGAACTGACAACTTTATGAATAGAGAATTTGAGGCTGAAATAGGATTGCCCGAAGACCCAGAAAGCCTAGGCATGCAGGCTTTAGCGTTTTATTTTCTTGCAAAAATCATCCACGTTATTTGTTACCAGTCTAAAAGTGATAGAGGTGCCCAGTTCGTAGGGTCAAAGTCCTCCCAGAGCCACAGCCTTCCCCCACTCCCCAGTTTGCAGGGATATCTTTAAAAAGCCTCCTGTTGTTGTTGTTTTAATTCTTTATTGTTTAAAGTATTGCGCAAGTCTCCTTACACCCCCCCCCATTGACCTCTCCCTGGCTGCCCCCACCCCCCAAAAAGCCTCCTGTTTTCTTCCCCCAGGGACAAAGTCGCCTTCATCACAGGCGGTGGCTCTGGGATCGGATTCCGGATTGCTGAGATTTTTATGAGGTGAGCACTCCTCTGTTTGATCTGTGCCCACCACCCCATCTCCACTACTGATTCTCACACTTCCTCACACCTTCCCCCTGGATCCTGGGATTCCGGGGCAAGAGGCTGGTGGGTGAGGGAACCCCTCTAGGCAATGAGCCCTTTAAGAACATCTGAAAGGCGTCAAGTGCTGTCCTCGGGGAGGCAGGGCTCCAGGGCCCTCTCCCAGACCTCAGTGGAGACTGTGTGGTTGCGGTCTGAGCACCCGCATTTACACGAAGAGAGAGGGTTCCACAGCGTGAGGTAACTCGCTTGCAGAGCCCCTGGGGCCTGGCTGTGAGCCAGAGGCATGGAGGGCCCAGTTGCATGGGGAACACAGTGTCTCTTGAGACACAAGTTCTATGGCCTCAGGCCCAAATTGAGTATTTATCACCGACCTGGGAAAGGCCCAGAGTTAGGCTGGGGTTGGGGGAGAGGGAGCCTGCTGATATCCTAGGGACCCTCTCCAGTTTCTCCTGGACCCTCACTTTTCATACCAGGGTGGTGAGCTCCCCTGGACAAGATTTTGGGAATCATTCCTTCTGGGGGAACTTTTTGCCAAACTGGTGGCTTCTCTGAACAGAGTATGACTAGCTGGTCAGGGTCATTTTGAGGAGCAGGTAGAACCTGCTTAGAAGGTGACAGCTGCTATTGTTACTACCAACACTGTGAGGAGGTGCCACTGTTGTAACGTACCCCGCGAATCACACAAGGACACCTCAAGAAGTCGAATTAAAGAGTCACATTTATTGCAAATCCGGGACTATGGGGGGGCATTTCCCAAGTCTCATAGTGATAAGATGGCCGCAACTCCAGATTTATATAGGCAAAGATCACAAAGGTATAGATTACATCCCAAGGTTTGGAATGAGGAACCTGGTTTGCAAAAAAGCAGTTTACAGAAGCAGAAGCAGCATGTTACCTAAATTATAGTTTTGGGTCTCCAGA